TTCAGCGCGGAGATCCAACGGGAACAAGAGCTTCGTGTGTCATTTATAGGCGACGATAGTTACCCCCGACTGTGACTTACTACCGGCGTTGAGACAACGCTGAACGTTGTCTTCGCCGTGAGGAACGGCACGACGAACGCGATATCCCGTGTGACACGCTGATAACACGATCGATGTGACGGCTTTATTCGGATGTGGGTAACGCAAGAAAGTTTCGCGGCTAAAAATAAATCTGCAAAAGTAGTTATGCGATACACCGGCCGTGCGGGGACGGAGAGGCATGTATGCTAAGGTGTATGTACGCTTGCGAGGAGAACCCGGGGCGGTTCGCGAACAACCCGCCGAGTTGTAGTTTGCGCGCGCACACACACACACACACACACAGACACACGCGCGCGCACACAAACACAGCGAAAGCTCACGTGGAAAAGCGGCGGTTTAATTCTGTAAAAGTCAGGAGACTAAAGAAAGTGGTTTCTAACGGTCATTTAAAATTAGCGTGCACCTACCCTCTACAGCTCGACGTCGACGATGACGAAATTAGCATACAACTACGAGAGTTTACGGACCGTAAATAGAATGGTTGCTTCGAACTGTCTTTCACGCGGGGGAGGGGGGGGGTGTAAATTGCACGCCGCTCGTTTTAAGGAATCATAGGGCAACGACGTTCCAGCCTCGGGTCGCGCTCTCCTTCGGGGTGTCTTTCTTTCGTCCTCCATCCCCCTCGAATCGCGCGAGATGATCGGGGGGGGGGTCGTTTCGCTCTCCCCGCGCGTTCTACGCGCCCCTTCGCGAGTTGTTCGCCTTAACAAAACGGAGACAGCTTTCTCTCTCTCTCTCTTTCTCTCTCGCACTATTTTATACGTTTTGATTTGGTTCTTTCGTTAATAATTGTACACTCCCACCAGTGTGATATCGATTCGCGAATGGTCTCTCGCGCGTCTCACCGTCCGACGCCGCCCGCGGTCGCCGCGCGCGGTCTCCCCTCGATGGCAAGCGCGCATTATCGCGGAATCGGCCGTAAGACCTCGAGGGCGCGAGGTAGAGGTGAGCTATAGAAGACGAGCTGAGCAGCGGTTGTCAACCCCCTTCACTCTCGCCGGTCTTGACGCGACGACGACGACGACGACGGCGGCGGCGACGGCCGTCCGGATTGGACTCGCGCCTGCCAGTAGCTCGCCGAGTGTACGCGTTACTCTCTTAAAAAGGAAACTGAAACGTGCCTGACCGAGGGTTGTCGTCCCTTTACTTGTATAACGGTATGTCGGCGCGCCGCCGATTGCTCCTGTACAGGAAACGGTTCGAGGTGCTTCGCCACCATCTCCATAGTCAGGTGCGCCTGCTCTGACCGCTCGTCACGGTCACGCCCGCGCCCGGGCTGGTGCCGTTCGACAGCAGCAGCCTACGATTAAACTCACGCATCTCGTAGTTGTTGTTACCGTTGCTCTTCTCACGGCCGCCGCCGGCCGCGCAGCTGTTGTGGTGGTTGTTCGCCGAGGTAGGCGTCGTCTCCTCGAGTATCAGCGCGCAGTGGCTGTTCGTGTCGCTGTCGGCGCCGCCGTCCTGCAGATTGTTCGCCAACAGCGGATGCCGCCCGGTGTTGCACTCGTCCGACTGCAGCAACAGCGACGCGTTACCTGAAAACGAGGATTGCGGATAATTCTCTCCCCCTCGCGCTTAAAAAGAATCGAACGATCCTTTCCGCTGGATATCTCGATTGGGATTGTCGCCAATCTTCCATCTCTACCCTTGTATAATTGATATACGGTAAACTCCTCGATTTCAGGGATTTAACAGATAAATAATAATACAGTGTACTGTAATTAAGAATTTTTAAAAGTTAAAGAGATTGAGGCCTGGTTTCACCAAACGTCACTTAACTTTAATCTTAGTTTAAATCTTGTTGTCTCTTTCTAGAGTAACAGCTGGAAAGAGACAAGGAACGAATTAAGCTAACAATAAGCTTAGCGACGTTGGTGAAAATCAGGGCTAAAAATCTTAAATCTGATAAAGGAGTTAAAAAGAAAGCGTGTGAAATACTCGTCAACCGCACTGTCCAACAAGTGAGTAAATATTACATCATTCCTTGTTAAAAACTTGACATGTACAGTACTATACACTGTATTAAAACTTTCTCTTTATATTAAGGACAATAAAAATTGACCCGCCCAGGTTTGATTTACTGAACTTTCAGCATTAACGGGTGCTGTCAGTCTGTTTAATCTATAGCAGGGGTGCGCAACTAAATTTTTCGGTGGGCCAAATGTAAAATTGAAGCTGTACCGTGGGCCATGGCGGCTAAATTTAGAATTTATATATTTTTTATCTTCTTTGAATTGGCCAAAAGTGTCGCGAACATTCTGTCCATCACCGTACACATATTCACAAACAGTCATTCATTAAAATCACTACTGTACGACATAGTAGCTTGACTTTCCACAACGAAACGCTAATGACGGAACGAGAATCTGGATAATGCGTCTGCGGGCTTGGGCGCTAACTGGTCGTCGCCATCGGGCTCGAAGATACTCCGCACAAGCGGGAGTTCGAACTGGAACGTACCGGAAGGCGTAACCGCGTTGGGCAACGTTGTGCGTCTCGCGATGCTGCCGTTGTTGGCCATTTCCGGCAGCACCTGGCAGAAGGGCGGTTGCGCGAACGGCGTGGCCGGCGGCGGCGGCTCCCTCAGCAATCGTATTTTCTGTATCATCTCCCGTATCTCGTACCGCAGGATGCCGAGGAAGCAGAGCTTGGCGAAGGCGATGACGCAGAAGCCCAGGACGAACAGCAGGTCCGCCGTCTTCCTGAGCCAGCGTATGAGCGTCTCCTCGCAGCCGCGCGCGTACGGCTGCTGGCAGGACTCGCTCGCGTTCACGCTTGGCCCGCAGCAGGTCTGCGGCCAGCGGTCTTCGGGGAAATCCTTGGGTCCGGTCACCCCGCAGCACATAAACTCCCGCTGGAGTCGGTCCCACTGCTCGCTGAATCGCGACTCCTTACCGTAGTCCGCCTGCGAACGTGGAGCAATGGTCATTTCGAGACACTGTACAACGTGCGTCAAGTCCATGGGGAATGGAAAGGCTCGAGGCGAATCGAGGGGGTTTTCGCGCGAAAACCTCTTAGTAGGAATAGTTAAAACGCAAGTCTACAGCCAGCTGTTTTTACTAATCCACGAACCGAAGAGAGAATTTTCAGAGCATCTCGCGAACCGGTTTCATTGATACCGAATTGCAAACGCGCGAAAGGACTGAGTCTACCTCTCGATATACGGAGCGAAAGAAGAAGCACAACGCAATGCGCCTGCAAACGAGGAGAGCACCGCCGCGGGCTCAGGGGAGGCTACCGGATGGCGCACCTGCAAACGTTGCCTGAGCGCGGGCTTGAGGTCGGTGCGCATTTTCTCGAAGCGGAAGATCCAGGCGACGCCGACCACGGCGTCGCCGAACAGCAGTATCAGAAGTAGTATCCAGTAGATGTTGAGCAGCCGGGCGCTGAGCCGCCTGGCGGCGATGCAGCCGAGCAGCTGCACCAGGCCTAGCTGCGCCGTCAACGCCAGATAGCCGTAGAGCGCGGTGGGGTCGTAGACGCGGGGCACACCCGGCACCACGTGCCGACGTGGGTCGCCGGTGAACAGGAGGGTCTGCGACACCGCGGCGGCGAAGCCGATCGCGCTACCGAGCAGCACCAAGTTACAGGCGTAGATCCAGAGGCGGTAATATCGCATCGCGACGTCCTGACCACCGCCGGCGAGTCGTTGGGACGTCACCGACGACGGCGCCTCGTCGGCGACGCGATCGCGGCTGTTGCTCCTCCGAGCGCCTCTTTTGAAGACGTTATTGTTGACGTTATTGTTGTTGTTGTTATTGTTATTGTTGTTATTGTTATTGTTATTATTGTTGTTGTTATTCGTGGTGGTCGTGGTGTTGGTATCGGTCGAGTGCCGATGCTCCTCACGGTCGTCCAGCAGAAAGAGAAAGGGCGGCTTCGCGCTGTAGTCCTTCGTCGCTGTCTTTTGGCTGTGCGTCGACTGCGGGGTGACTGAACGTTGCAGCAGCATCACCGTCATACTATCGTGCCACCCTGGTGTGCGTGTCCTCGTCGTAAGGATTGTGCCCCGCGGTCGCGCGGGGGGGCTGAACGGGAGAGACGGGCCAGCGCGCTGCACCGCTGGTGGTGGCCGTCGCCGCGGTACTCACGCGAGGGAGAGAAGGCCGGGATTCTCTTCTACTCGTGACCGGCGCGAGTCACGCGAGGCACGTCGTGCCGCACCGCCGCACCGGAAGGTCGTCCGCGGTAACGTTCATGGTTGTCCCCCTCGTGTCACGCGCACCGCTGAGCACCGCGATGGCGGTCTTCAGGCGTTCCGGCGACCGGAACGGCGGACGGTCCTCCTGCGGAAAGAGAAATATATGGAGGTGTGCGAGAGACACGCATCTTAACGGATGCACACGTCCTGGGGTGCTACTTTTTTTTCTTTTCTTTTTTCCTTCCTTAAAGCTTTCGGACTCCGAGAATTATCGATTTGACCTTCGACCTCGGGTCCTCCGCTTCTTCAGCGCGATTCAACGTTCTCCCTCCTCGCCCGTCCTCCCTCGATCCCACGCGGGAATTGAACGGAATTCAACGTGCGTGCGTTTCCAAGTCGGAGCCAACGCCGGGGGGAGGTGGAGGGGGAGGGGGGGGGGTGCACAGTCGCCCTGGCGTGCGCCTCGGCGGATTGTATTTCTTTCTGACAGTTGTAGCGTGCGATAGGCGATTCTACTTATCGATTCTCCGCCGCCTAGCTCTATGTAGCTTCTCCGCGGAGGGACAGAGAGATAAATCGCGCGAGATAGAGAGAGGATATGCGCCTGAGCGAGTGTATCGGCACGAAGCGTCGCCGGCACGGCGAGCCGTCGGGGCAGAGCCGCGGAGGCGACCTATCTGACGAATGCAAGAGTACGCAGGTACAATTGCGAGGCAGGCGGGATCGAAAAGGAGGGAATGAAGCACAGCTCGCGGAATAGGAGGCCGGGCACTAAGGGGGGAAAGCTGCCTTCCCAGTCAGAAATGATTCGTCGATCGACGTCGAAACGATGTCGTATCGACATCGAAACCGTCTCCTAGTAGCACAGTGCATTGGCTAAACATTGGTCCAATGTTGGTTATATCAGAAATGCCGTTATTGTTCAAGCCAATATTAGCCGTGGAATAAATGTAAATATTGCACGACAATAATTGTATAATAATAGATTCATATTGGAAGTGCATTGGCCAATATTTAACAGTGTAATAAGAATATTGGTTTAATGTTGCTGCAATTTATTCAACCAATATTGCTGAATAAGAGAAGGCGTCCGTCTTACAATATTGGGATTACTAGATTTACATTAGTTTTCAATATTGCGCCAATATATTGTGCTACTAGGGTCCCTTAGTAGCACAGTGCATTGGCTAAACATTGGTTCAATGTTGGTTATATTAGAAATGCATTGGCCGATATTGTTCAACGTGAATAAATGTAAATATTGCACGATAATAATTATACAATATTAGATTCATATTGGAGGTGCATTGGCCAATATTTAACAGTGTAATAAGAATATTGGTCTAATG